GGACCTTCTTTACATACATTGTCTCAATGATCGAATATTTATGGTCAGTTGGTTCAACATTTTAATTTCCAAAAGGATCTAAAGTCTTTAGCCTACCTTTTCATATCTGACTGAAAAATAAACCATGTGCTCTTATTATAAAGTTGTTCATGTATCAGTTAGGATAATCTGGCATCATATGCCAAAATATATAAAAAATGTTGCTTTAGATTGAAATGGTAGTGTTTGTAATTCAACTGAACTGTGCACAATCACGTTGATTTTTAGTACTCCCAGAGCTGAGAACACTAAAAAAAAAAAACGGTGACTGATGACCATAGACTGTAAAAGATATAAACGAAGTATCCGTGTATAGGTTTATGAAGAACCTAAAAGAAGGCGCGGCCAACCATTGCTATTTTGTTCGTGCGTCATTGCACCAACCAGGGGATACCAAAAAAGGGCAAAGAGGCAGAGTGTGAGCGGAGCTACAGACACATGCTGGCATTTTGCTTAGACAGACTTTTCTATGGGAGAGACACTTAACACTTCGTTACCTGCGACTTGTTTGTGTTCTGACCACATGTGTTTTGTCGTACACTATATCAATAAAGTGTTTAGACTTTTGTAATTTATTAAGCCACGAAGGCATTGTTCTTCAAATATAGTCTGTGTTTGTAAATGCAAGGCTATTTGTGAAATCCAGGCATAACACTGTACGACAACGCTTCAGATAACTGTTCTATAGCCTACTATAGCCTACTACTAGCCTAATCAGTCTGTCAGATCCTGGAGTGCACTACAGGTCTAAAGAAAATGATAAATATTCAATGATCCTAAATAAAACAAATATATTTATAGAGATGGTATCAGTATATAATTTCACTCACCTGGGAAATGGAGGCAATTTAAATGGTTTGTGAGCACACTTAAGTGCACACAGCATGCCATATCATCTGATAATTGTAAGAAATAATTCAAAAAGGCAACTGACAGTGTAAAGCATAAAACAAAACAAAAATACGGGAATATGCCGAGTTCAGCAGCTAGTTAGTCTGAATCAGCCGAGGTGAAGACCTAGCTGTCACTCAAGTGGCCATGTCCTTGATTATGCAGACCTAATATAACCTAATATAAATGAAACAGATGAGTTATAAAAAAAAAATTCACCCCCTCAGAGTTGTTTTGAAGGGTAATATTAGCTATATGAACCAAAATCGTTCTTTGAACCAGGCTGTAAACACCTTTTTTTTCTGCTGTAAAGTTGGCCATTTTAACATTATGCTTCACACATTTGCCCCATGTGGAGCCAGGACTAGCAGAATTTCGATGAAATGCAGTTTCAGTTTCTTCCGTAATGACTTCGCAAGGGAGAGCGAAAGGTTGCCGGTTGCTTATGCCATATGTTTCTCCTTATTCCAAGATTCACATAGTCTTAGATCCAGCTCTTATCCATTTTTCCAACATCTAAATAAACAAATCCAATGGCATGTTTTTTCTCTCCCTTAACATAATGATTTTAGAGTTTTTAGATAATATTTTTAAGCATACTGTAAACTAAATCAATAATCTGGATAGATAAAGGAATAGACTCGTATTAGAGTCTTATTTTGTGGAAGGAACTGTTGTTTCTCGAGATACTTCCCCTTTAAATATCCCAGAATAACAGCTTGCTCAGGCTCTGTCTTGAGGCGAAGCCCACCACAGTTCAGGATGCAAGTGAAGGGAGCAGGAGCAGATCTCCTGTCTTACACATTCTGCTTGTAGCCTCTACAGCAGCCCAGATCCACCTTTGGCTAATTTCCCACAATTTCCAAGCTTCCTGAAAATGAATATGCATTACAGCAGCAGAGAATCCATTTGCACGGCAGAATAATAATGAAGAAAAAGTGCTCTCAAAAATGCAATTAATCTTATGTAAAATGCCTGCTCAATGCCTCTAATTAGATGCCATTTTCATAACTGCGTATGTTGTACAAGAAAGACAGTTTAGCAAAGGTGGTAAACACCATTGTTCATTTGTTTAGTGACATAAAAAGCAAAAGCAAACAGATTTTGTTTGCTAAAATATAAGCAATCATTCCTTTATCTGGAATAAAGTACTAAAACCCACACAGTATGAGAAGAATGGCTAGCAACGGTGCATTTTGACTGTGTAACACTATCAAGGAGATGAGATATGCTTTCAGAACGAACAAAAAACGAATGTACAGTAAATAAAAATACAAATGCATTTTAAACGTGAAATTGGATTCACATGTTTGGCATTCAAGCTATGCTCTGCAGCAACATGAACATGGCTTTGTGGGAGAAGACGCTTTTGGCAAAGGATTACACTTAGCCGGCGGAATGAACCAAACACATCACCAACAGAAACACCAGTGCATGTTTTAGAAATCCAGGTGTCATCATGTGCTGTCAGTTAAAACACGGTCCCAGGACCGGCTTTGGGCTGATAATATCTTCTAGCATTATTATAGTATTACAGGTCACAGACTGGGTCGACAGCTAAAGACTGCAGAAAAGGTTACTGTTTCCTCAGGCTGGGATGTGAACTGTTTTGTGTTACAGAAATGCTCGATGTACTGATAGAGCCTTGGTGATAGGCTGTCAATCAACATACCTTGCCTAAAGGAACTGGATGTAGTAGGTTGTAAAGGAATTGCCTGGATTCAGTTCAAGTATGCTTTCATACTTGGTTGGATTCCCTAGCCTGAAGTTAGACTGATCATTCACATTATACACATAATGCAAAACATCTTCATTAAATGGAAGCTGCGATGGTATTTTCCTCCCTGTTGTGATGCATATCTGAGTGAAATGGATTTATGAATGAGAAATAAATGTACGGCCGGACTTAACTTTGTCTGCTGGGAATTGATTGGATCTCATGTTAGTGACACATTGTCCCACATCTTGTGGCATGTGGCTCTAAGGGTAAAGCGAATTATCAATAATTGAAACTATGTTGACACATGGATTATTTAAAATAAGGATGCACATGGACAAATCATTTATAACAAGCCCTGCAATACTGCTTACAAATATTCATATATAATTCAATAAGTAATTCAATTCCATTCATATTTCTATAGAACTTTTACAATGTAGATTGTGTCAAAGCAGCTTAACATCGAAGTTCTAGTAAACTGAAACATTTTAGTTCTAGTAAACTGACTGTGTCAGTCCAGTTTTCAAAGTTCAGTTTAGTTCAGTTATGTGTGGGTTAAATTTCACTGCTGAAAGTCCAAACACTGAAGAGCAAATTCATCGATGCGCAGCTCCACAAGTCGCAAACCAAGCAAGCCAGTGGCGACAGTGGCGAGGAACAAACTTCACCAATTGACTAAAGTGAAAGAAAAAACACCTAGAGAGAAACCAGGCTCAGTTCAGGTCATGTGTTGTGCAGCAAGTCGATTTATTGATTATTGTGACAGGCCTATCCCAATTTCCAAGGTGTCCTGCACGTTAGCTTCTCTTTAAATAGTGCGTACAGAAGTTGATCTGGGATCAGTTTATTATATGGAGCGCATTTATCAGCGCTTATACATGCATTCACTGACTCAGAGGTTGCTTAGGAAGGGTGATGATTGACTGAAAAATCTAACCGATGATCGAAAAGTGAATGCAGACATTTTTAAATTAATTTCAAGATAAAAATATGGGAGAAATATGGGAAAAATGTGATGATAGTGGAATAGAATTGTAAAATAAGGGAGAATCCCGGAAAAAAGAGAGGGTTGATATGCATAAAGTGAACAGGTAGTGTTTGTGGAACAACAGTTTTGCAAGAATACGCAAAACATTTTTGTAAGGAACGCAAAAATGTAAAAAAACATATTTTCCTATCACTTTTTTTTCCCATCCATTTTTTTCTCCCACCTTTTTTTTTTCTTCCACCATAACGTCTTTTCCGGGTCTCCGTACCTTTACAAAAGACAATTTTTGCCTTTTATTTCTTATAGTAATCAATATCCCTGACAAAAAAGATTTGGTGAAGTTTGTTACTCGCCATTGTCGTCACTGGCTTGCTTGTTTGGGACTTGTGGAGCTGCGCATTGATAAGTGCATCCCAAATCGCACACTTATGCACTATTCTACACATTTTATAGTATAAATAGTGTAAGTAGTGCATTTACACTGAAAACTCTAAAAATAATAAGTGCACTTTATTTACCCGGATGATGCACTTATTTGATCGTGTAATGAAGTGTGGAATAATGGACACTTCACGTACTCAACCGCCGCAGTTTTGCTCAAGTAGCGGAAGGAGCGCAAATGTTGGATAACTTTATTTATGAAATTCTCCTATGAGAGTGATTATAGAAGATTATAGATTATAGAAGAATGCGGTGATACTCAAGTCAGGTATTATTTGGTACTTTGTTCATTTATTTTTACTAGTTTGGCACCCGTCAAACGGCATCTAGGAAACGGGTTGAATTTCCGCTTGGTAAAAAAACATTAGTGTTTCATTTGGAATGACACTACTTACATACAGTACACCTTGCTGTTGAGTGTGTAAGTGCATAAGTACATAGTGCATGACTGCATAGTGTATAGTGTGCCATTTGGGACGCAGCTAGAGATTTTCTCTTCAGTGTTTGGACTTTCAGCAGTGAAATTAAACCACACTAAACTAAACTGAGCTGAACTGAACTTGAACCCTGAAAACTGGACTGACACAGTTTCAATTTACTAGAAAGTCTAAGTTAAGCTGCTTTGACACAATCTACATTGTAAAAGCACTTTAGAAATAAACATGAATTAAATTAAACAAATACTCTTGACTCAGCAAACAACTTTCTTTTTATTCTTGTTTTTATTCTTCTTATATGTCATTTTTCTATTAGTAAAAAGATTGCTGAAATTGAATGTTTAATATCAACCTTCTCTCATTATTATTTTCATCCTTTAATAATTTACTTAGAGACAATAATCAATTACGCACATAATTTATACACATATAAATATATAAAGTTGATAATTGCAGTTTTACTGTGGCAATTTATTAAGAGTGATGTGCTGAACGGCTACAATTATGAGGCAGTTAAAATATATGGCCAGCTATCTGGAGCGTGTAAAACAAACTGTGATAGGAGGCGAAAACAAATCTGCCTGTTGTGTAGCAGAGTGCCAGTTTCCAGCGTTCAGCATGTTTATTTATTTATGGCCTTCAAGAAAGAAGGTCTCGGCACAGGCTGGACACCGGGCCACAGTGGTTATCTTCATCGCTCTACTGCCGGACGAGGAGGAGAGGGAGGTATAGGCCACTGCATTAATGATGCATGGGGACCAGTACGTTCAGTTTAAAGTTCTCCATGCTCCGTGCAGGCCTGATCAAATATGCATGAGCTACACCGCATGTGCAGGCAGCAGCACGTCAAGTTACTTTCCACCTTGGCGGAGGCGCAGCGGCTCACGGCGCGCTTGTAGCAAAGCCATCGGCAGGCTCTTCTGAAAAACCATGCTCGAGCCGTAAGTTGCCTGTTATAATAAAGCGATTTTGCATGTGTGTGTTTATCGGGTAGAGTTTCCCTGCTTGTATTTGATATCAAGTACATTTAGAGGGAACGAAACAATCATTCTGACCTTCTATCATTATTATTTTTTTAACCCTTTAATAATTTACTTAGAGACAATAATTACAGTTATTTTATAGACATATAAATATATAATGCTTATAACTGCATTTTTACTATGGCAATCTATTAAGAGTGACATGCTGAATGACTACAGTTAAGAGGACGTTAAAATTTACGCTGTATAACGTGTGTTTATCATAAGTTTTTGAGCTGTTGCATTAATTCATTTAGAAGGCAATAAACAATCATTCTGACCTATCATTATTTTTTTACTGTTTAATTATTTACTTATAGACAATAATCTATTACAATTATTTTATAGACATAAATATATAATGCTTCTAATTGCTTTTTTCTATGGTAATTTATTAAGAGTGACCTGCTGATTGGTTACAATTGCAGTATGGGGCAGTTATGGTTATATAGTATGATGTGTATGTTTATCATGAACTTCTGAGCTGTCATTTTGCATCAAGTAATTTTAGAAAGCAATAAACGGTAACACTTCATAATTACGCTCTATGAATCATCTATTAAGCATTAGCAAATAGTTAATTCATTATTTGTTAAGCATTAACTCTACATTAATAGACGTGAGTAAACTGTTTATAACTACAGCTACAAATGCTCTATTCTTGACTTGTGAGCACATTTATAATTGTACTTTCATACTTAGTTACTGATTATTTTTTTATGACTAAATTAGGTATTGCATTATTTACAAATCATTTGTAATTAAGAGTAGTTGGGTTTTTTGAAGATCATTCGAGTTATTAAATGATTAATAAACCATTCAAATGCACATTTGTATATTATTATTTAGGCATATAGTAATTGTTAATTTTTATGTTAATAATAAATGCTTTGTTAACTCATTTAAGCCCACCAGCAACTAGTTGCTGCATATTCAAATACAATTTTCTTGAAAAAAAAAATTCAAAAACCTGGAGAAAATAAACGCAAAACATGCTCATATAGGATTACTAACAAGGCTACATGCATGAAACCATTTTTTAAAATCATGGGCACAAATGGGTTAACTCAACTTCATCCAGGTTTTGTTAAGTAATCGTAAGAGAGGACTTCACAAATCTCTTGTAAATGACAATTAAAGGCTGTTTCAAATAAACATAACATCTTTGCATTCATATCTAAAAAGTAAAATTACTGTAAAGTTTAAGCATTGCCAATTCAGTGTTATTTATCAACGTTTAAACTGTACAGTAGTTTTTTTTTGTTAAGATTGCAAAGATTTATGTTTCATTTGATTCACTTTCATTTGTATATTTTCAAATGAATGAAAAAAAAAACATTTATTTTCCTTTTTTCCAACTTAGAATATAACTGAGCCTTTAATTGTAATTTATAAGAGATTTATAAGTAGGGATTTTTTTTCTTCATCAAATTAATTTAGAAGGCAATAAACAATCATTCTGACCTTCTATCATTATTATTTTCAGCTTTTAATAATTTACTTAGAGACAATATTCAATTAGTATTATTTTATGGACATAAATTGCAGTTTTACCAAGGCAATTTATAAATAGTGACATGTTGAATGGCTACAATTGTGAGCCAGTTAAAATATATAGTTATAATGATCAATCCCAGCAAGCATTTTTTGTATTTCAAAGGTGTCTAATAGATGTCTAAACATAGTCGTGTTGGCTACACCAAGGCTAAATTTGAGCTGTCAGTGAAAATCTAATAGATATCTAAAAATAGGCCAAAATTAAACAAGTCATCAAATAAACAGAAATGAATGACTGCACATATAAAGTCTGTCTAATCTGCTTATGTGATGACTATTCTAGTTTTGGCCTATTCTTATTTGTATTAGAATTTCACTGACAGCCAAAGTTTAGCCAAGCTGTCTACGTTTAGAAGTCTATTAGACATCTATTAAACACAAAATTGTTTGCTGGGAGATGTATGTTTATCACAAACTTCTGAGCTGTTTTTTTTTTTTCTTTTTTTTTCATCAAGCTCATTTAAAAAAAATGGGTAAAACCAAATTTTGGTTATACCTTTGCTACTACATTATACCTTTGCTACTACATATTACCTAACTTTGCTACTACATTTCAACTAATAGTCATGAGTATTAGAAGACAATTGGGGTTAGTGGAATAAGTTGATGTACTGTACTTGTAAAGTTACTTACAGTCAGTAGAATGTCGGCTGGGGGATCATTAAAAAAAAGTAAGTAGATATTAAGCAGATAGTCTACAGGGGTGGCCAACCCTGTTCCTGGAGAGCCACCTTCCTGCAATTTTCAGTTGCAACCCATATCAAACACACCTGCCTGTAACTATCACATGGTGTTCAGGTCCTAATTAATTGGTTCAGGTGTGTTTGATATGGGTAGCAACTGAAATCTGCAGGAAGGTGGCTCTCCAGGAACAGGGTTGGCCACCTCTGGTCTACTAATAATTTAATAATTGCTACTTTGCATATATATTGTAGTTGCAAAGGTACAAATGAAAGTGCTACTTACTTTTCATTCCAAAATGTTTTATGTTAACATTATAATAATAACAAGTGTTTATTTAATCCATACACTTAAATATTTGTATTCTAGTCAGTATGATTTTGGATGCCTATTTCTAAAGGCTGGCGGAATTTTGAATGGTCAACATGTCATTAATTACTTTTATTTGCATTTCAATGTTCATCTGGTACATCTTTTGAGTGTTTTATAACTAGTTTTGTTCAATTTACAAGGCAAGAAACATCATTTTTGCTTTCACTTCATTTTGTTGGTGTGATTTAGACATTCTGGTGATTATAATTTTGTAACATGTCAACTAACTCCAATTAGATTATTAGTAGACAGTAAGGGTTGGCAGAATAAGTTGACATACTGTACTTGCAAAGTTGCTTTAAAAAAAGTCTAAGCAGATGTTAAGCAGACAGTATACTATGACGACTGCTGCAGTTGCAAAGTTTATTAAGTTAACAGACATTCAAAATAAAGTATTACTGTCACTGCAAAATGCACCCTGCTGAGTTTTATAATGACGATATATGTTCATCTACAGTATATGAAGTACTGCTTTTTGATTATTTTGCGACTTCAAAAAGGTGGCAAAATTCATATTTGTCAACACATCATTAAAAGCAAAAAGTCTGGTTTATTTAACAGATTTGAGACGGGAAAAGGAGGATTTTCAATGTGTCTTGTTATGCTGGCTTGTTAGTTATAATGAGTTGTTTGTTCATGGACTGGCCGTTGGTTAAATTCTGATCTGCTGGATTTCCTTGAAAATAAACATGAAACCCAAATGAATTATATTTGCTTTATTTTTGCATTGTTAGTCTTGTTTTATTTGGAATCATTCAATGTTGCATGATATTATGATCAAATAATAATAATACAATTATGAATGTGGATATTGGATAACGCTAATCAAGAGATAAAGTATTATTTAGGCATTGTTTAACTAGGACAAGGGGAACCTCATAATAAAGTGTCAAAAATATAAATTAGTCAGTCTAATGCATGTATTGCACAATCACTTGACAACAAAAAATGCATTATATAGTTTCAGGAGTAACAACTCCATTTAAATATATAATTGAATTCTCTAAAATATAGTTTTGTGTGTGAATTGACCATGACCCACTATCAAAGTTGTGACGAATGACATTGTTGTAAAGTTCCTGTACATTTTGCAAAGTACTTATTATGCTCAATAATTTGAACTAAGCCACAATAATGTTTTGTTAATGTGGAAAGCGGCTTTACAGAGTGCGCTCTTGGAGTGTTGCCATATCCACTTATAATAAACATTTAGATTTGTTAGCTCAGAAGTGTTAGTTCACTCAAAAATTAAACTTCTGTTATTAATTACTCACCCTCCTCCCCTTTCAATCCAATGAGACCTTTGTTCATAAAAATTAAGATATTTTAGATAAAATCCAAAAACTCTCTGATCTTCCACGGACAGCAACACAGTGGCAACATTGTCAAAAGATTTTACGTCAGTGGTTCGACTGTAATCAGAGAAAAGCTTCAAGAACATGACTTGTTTGCCTTAATCTTCTTTTCTGCGTCATGTCATGGTGCATGTTTACAACAGGCAGTTTGATGTAATGTCATTATGCTGCATTCACACCAGACACGGATGAACCTTCAGCCGCGAGTGATTTACATGTTAAGTCAATGCAAAGATGCAAATAGACACTGCGTTTTGCATGAATGAGGCAGCGCGAATCGCTCGAGTTGGAAATTCTGAACTTCACTGGACGTTCGCGCCGCATTAACCAGTCATGAGCTTGTAGGGGTCTGAGTCTTGTAGGGGAGTGATTATGACATGTTGTGCATGTGCATGTTGCTGGTGTCCCAAGGGAAAAACCTTCTTGCCGACACCAGTCAACAGCTAATCAAACTGGGCTCGGCTCAGTCTGGAGCACCACTGAAAGCCTCCATCATCCAGGTATAGTTTCTGGATGAGCCGATGAACTCAGAGCTGCTGCACATCTGAAAGGATCTAGTGGACTCACCAAACAAATATATGCTGTTTTTCAGTCTTCCTAAGGCACAAAAACACAGCTATTCTCTCTATAAAATGCATGTTGGCCATTAAAAATCTAGAGTCACCATTCCACAAAATGAAGTTAATCCGCATCTATTGTGAAGTGAAATTGACACATGAATGAAGCAATTTCAAAATTTCAAGCGTCTATTATATGGGCAAACAGCACAGTTTATTCGCTCGTTCGGCATATGGAGTCAGCAGCAAACCTTGTAATGACTAATTTTTTAGTTTTTGTGGTGCACAAACATGTTCTTGGAGCTTTGCACGATTACAGTTAAACCACTAATGTCACATGGACATTTTTTGACAATGTTTTAGTTCATTTTCTTGGCGTTGAACTTCTAGTGACTGTTAATCTTTATGAAAGATCAGAGACCTCTCGAATTTCACCTAAAGTATCTTTTTTTCCAAATACAAACAAAGGTCTCATTGCATTGAACTTTTCGGGACTGATGCCATCTATGGAGGATGATGGAGTTCTAGAATTTTTTTCAAAAAAATCTTATTTTGTGTTCCAAAGATGAACAAACATATCAGGGGATTGAAGTGACATGGTGAATAATCCATGACAATTTTTTTTTTATTTTTGAATGAACTAATTCTTTAAGTTCATTATGGGCTATACTTTATGTTGTTTATTGGTTACTTGCTGTTACTTCTAGCAAGATCTGGCAACACTAATAAGTCAAAATGTACCCTGTTTGTTGTAATTTCTTGCACTGCGCAAACAGAAGAGAGAAATACTTTTGATAGTAGTTGTTCATTTGGTTTCACAACATCTAGATTTTAGTTTTTTAAACAATATTGTCACTTTATGGATTAATTTGATTGTCAAATCTGGTTTGCATATTCATAAAATTCAAAACTGTGTGTGTACGGATTAGTATTAAGCACTAAAAGCTGAACTGACAGCTGAATTTAACTTGTACAGTATGTAGTAATAGTCGGCAGAATTTCTAAAGGGCACCATCAAAATAAAGAATTCCCAAATGGGTTGCAAATATGAATTTATGTTGACTTGAAACTATTTTTTTATGAATGAAAACACCAAAAGCAAACTCTTAAGGGGCTGCAGGGATTACATAAAAACACTTAAGTCTTAAAAATCTATACCTAACTTACAAAAATACTGTTTTTCTCGCCTACAGTATGAATGAACTTGTAAGTATTGTGCTGTGTTGTTATTTCTGCCGCATAGGTCTAACAGCGACCTCCAACATGTCAGGATCCGTTATCACTTTGTGGCGCGCAATGCCAACGAGCTCACGGTGCAGCAGGGCGATGAGCTGGAGGTACGGATGAGGTGGAGGAGGATTGGGGCAGAGCAGGGCTGAGGTACTGTACAGTGTGTGGGAGACAGAAGAGAGAAGACACAAACACCAACAACACTCAAAGTCTAGAAGAGGCTGTGGGCTGATGTTTGAAGATAAATAATGCAAAGAAATAGATCTTTGTGGTTAGAAGTTTCTGGGACACTTGAGGTAAACTAGACTTAATGTGACATATCTGTTATATTAAAATACATTAATCTAGTTGTGCTTACTTCTGTAGGGTATTAAATGAGACTCTGTTTGCAGCTTCATATTCAATTCACAAGTCAAACAGTCATTCAAAATAAGTGTTTGGCTTAACTCGAGGAAAACACTTTAAACAAGGATGAAAGAAAGTGTCAAATTAATATTTTATGATCACAATTTTTGGATAATACATTTGTATTAAATTGTAAATCACAAAAAAAAAAACATTTAAGAGCTTGTTATTTAAGAAAATATACCATAAAACATAAAATTGTTCATTAAAACATATTCGTTTTAGTCAATTATGCTTCTTTTTGATCATCAAACTCCAAAAATATTAAATTAAAAATATTAAAAATAAATAATTTTTTAAGCTAAAACTGAATCTGAATAAAACTACCTAAATAAAAGGGGATTTGTTTAGCCCTAAAAATAAAAAAACAGTAATCAGTATGGGCTCTATTAGAACAATCTAGGCACAAAGTATAAAGCATATGACGCAAAAGCAGTAAGGACCTATCCAAATCCACTTTGAGGATGGAAAAATATGCTTTGGACCGTGGCGCATGGTTTAATAAGTTGAACTTATTCTCTTAATGAGATATAGGTGTATTTTGAGCATAACATGCATTAAACTAATCAGTCTCATCTCCCATGAAAAAAAAACTTAAAAAATTAACTCCCTTCACTAGCAAGAAAAAGCAAGGAAAAAGAATAAGCCTCCCCCATTTGGTCTCTTTTTTCTTTACTTTACTTTTACTCTTTACTTTACTCCTTTAGTTTGGTGGAGTAAGGAAACCAACCCAGGCTCCTTCTGAAAACGTAGTCCCGTGGATGTTTCTGGAGACAGCGAAAAATGTCCTAGGAGGTTCGTATTTTTGCAGTTTTTGTTTTCGCGAATCCACGAGAGGCCGCTGTGTGCACTTTTTCACATCTCAAATGCCTCTCACGAGTGCTGTTCGCACTGTTCTCGCGTGAACCCACCAGATGCTGCTGTCGACCAACTGAATGACTGAATGATTGACTGGGCGACCGGCCAATCGACTGACACACCCTCCTCTTTCCCTAAACACAACCAATTTTACCGATTGACCTGCCCACCTGCTTACTTCACAAAACCCAACCAACAGTTTACAAAAGCCATTCAGAAAAAGAAAAGCCTTCGTCTGATATTTACCACATTTTCCGATTTTACCTCTTCTCACCCTGTTGTTCACTCATACGTTTTATTTTTTGTATTCTGTTTTTGTCTTACCTGATTTCTCTAACTGCTCTTCCCCGGACTCAAACCCGGTCATCGTCGTGGTCAACTCTAGTCCGTCGCCGTACACGACGAGCTAGCAGGACAAACTAGTAGCGTTCGCTTAAAAAAATAAAATGCAGCCATACGTACCTCTGGCTACGTAATTCGCCACCTCCAAAAACGTCCTCGGTTTTCAGAATGAGCTTGTGTTGAAGGAAACAGTGTTGTACGCACTTCACTGAAGCCATCCATTAGTCTACATATTTAATATTGTCTGTTTAGCACAAAGATTTGTTTCAAAACTTTTTCTAAATTCAGTTTTACTTTCCAGCAAACGAATAAATGAACAATGATTGTGAAGTGTGGGAAAAAAGTTTTATCCAAGCACACGTCCTTTTCTTATGCCCCATATTGTTATAGTCACCAGTGATCTAGCCTATACAGGTCGTTGGAGAACTACAAATCTGTCAGCAAAAAAACTACATATTCAGTCATGCACCCTTCACACACCTGGCCTAGATCCCCATGATTGCAAACAGATACAGTTGAAGCTGTTTTGTAAAAACTATACTAACTATTTTCACACCTCTCACACACACATACATGGCTGAGTCTTTTTATACTACTTTTGTGAACATTATAACGCATTTTCCTTGCCCTGCCGGTTATGACCCTTGCCTTGTTTGTTTGTTTGTTTACATTGTATGCTCACATGCTGCCTGCCTTTTGACCATTTGTCTGTGTATTGACCACAACTCTGGATTGCCCGTATACATCTGTTTGCTCCCGTGTTTAGCTAGTCAATTGTGCTGTCTAATTCAGTTCTTCAAAATAGCACTCATCCTATTTAGACTGGCACACCCATGAGTCCGCAAAGTGGTACAAATGGATTTTTTGGCTATTTAAATGGCTATTTAAACAAAGTGGCGCAAAACATGAAAAATAGAGTTGCTCTGGTCTGAAAATAGCAACAGATTGTGCCAAACACGTCTTGTGCCTTATTGTGCTGGGTGTATGATAGGACCCTAACTGTTAAAATCATTAAGATTAAGAGTAAAACCTAAAGAAAAAGAAACTCTAGAAAAAAATACTACAAATGAAGTTAACAACTAAAACTAAAGATGAGGGGAAAAAGTAACAGCTATTAGTTACTTGTTACTTAGTTAAAGTTATTAGTAGCTTTAACCTTTTCATATTTTGATTGTAATACAATAATGTGCACCTTTTGTAAAGCTGCTTTGAAATGACATTTATTGAGCTATACAAATAAACTTGAACTGAATAGAATTGCACATTTTAGATAAGTAATAATGAATGTAATTTGTGAAAGAAAAGCAAACTTGGAAAGAAAATGAGGTCCCTAATTATAAGGTTAATTAGCAAATGCAGAATACATATAATGCAGGAAAGAACAGTCCTTTCAACTTGTCACTTTCAGATGTCTGTGGTTTCAGCCTGCGACCCTGAAGCACTCTATTTACATGAGAACTACAGAAGTGATCAGGAGGGATTACCCCCGATTGGCTAATCCATCTGGAAACACGGATAATCGTGTTTCTAGACATGCCCAGCCTGAGCCTGGTATCACTGGGATTTAATTCAAGCATCCCAATGGTAGGATGCATCACTGAGACTGAGTACGACAACAACAAACGCTGTACCAAAACCTTTTAGCTAAAATTAGACAACATGTTGAATAAACAGACACAAGCCTCAAAAATAGATTTGTCCCAGAAAAAGTGATTGCACACTCATGCGATTTACTGTGATAATGCTAGACATAAATTAGATGAGTGTCTTGTACTGCAGGTCTTGGAAAACAACCAACAGTGGTGGTTATTGAGGAACCGCAGTGGTCAGTCAGGCTATGTGCCATGTAATGTGCTGGAAGAGGTCAAACCAGAAGAGCAGCAGTACAACCGAGCAGCTCTATTCAGCAGCCAGGTAAACTACTTCACTGTTCACCCAACAGTCCATATATAGTATATATTTCTGCTTATAATTCTATCTACCTTTCTGTAATGCCATGATGCATCGCATGAATTATGAGAGTAACTTATGCTGAACTGAAAACAATCATTTGAAGGAGACCTATTATGTCCCTTTTTACAAGAAGTAAAATGAGTCTCTGGAGCTTTCTCAGGAGATCAGGTTTTTATAGCACAACCTTATTATTTGAAGTGACTTGTTTAGAGCTCCCTACACCAAAAGTGCAGCCTTTCCTTAAAAGTAATTCTAAACTGAAAATATTAGCAAAGTCTATATCATAACTATAAAGATAAACACTCAAACGAATGAAATCATCCATTAAATCAAAACAGAATAACAAAAAACACTGACACAGCTTTAAACAGCTGGAGCATTTAAAGTGGCAGACAAGTGCACTTTATGGATATGATTCAGATTAGTGCTTTTACAGCTCCCATGTTGTTTTGTTGTGCAATTTATATATATATATATATATTAAAGTGCAGTTTAACAAAAAATATCTTTTTCAGCACATTTTTTCATTTTTCATGTCTCCTATATTTCACCCCATCTCCTGCCACCATCCTGCTTTGTTATTTTTCCGGTGAAACTCCCGTAATTTTTAACAAAACCACTTTTTGTCCTTGATTGTCAAGTTGCTAGATCACCTCATAAAATTGATAAAATATTCAAATCTCGAAGCACTTTAATTCAATCTGGCAACATACCCAGCTACACTTTTGATTGTAATGAAATAAACTGTTGGGGTTAATAACATTTACTTTTGCAGTTTTTACTTTAATAAAATAAAATAAATTCTTTTATATAAAAAATTAAGACTTTCTCCAGACAAAAAGATTTAGGTTGGCTAGGTCAGTTGGCATTTCTGTGAGGAGTTTGCATGTTTTCCCTGTGCTCATATGGGTTTCCTCCGAGTGCTCCGGTTTCCCCCACAAGTCCAAAGATGTGGTACAGGTGAATTGGGCAGGCTAAATTTTCCATAGTGTATGAATTTGTGTGAATGAGTGTGTATGGATGTTTCCCAGTGATGGGTTGCCGCTGGAAGGGTATCCCTTTATTAACCAGATTAATAAAGGGACTAAGCTGAAAAGAAAATTAATAAATGAATATATATATATATATATATATATATATATATATATATATATATATATATATATATGGAATAAAAGAACCAAAACAAAGACAGCTTTCCGCCACGAAAAACACATTTTCAAACCAGAATATCTGACTTAAGCATTGTTTTTTTTAGATAAACAAGGATGCTCAATTAGCATGTTTCATAAAAATCTGCAAACATATCATGGTATTTTTATGCTTTAGAGGAGTTAAAAACTTACATACGGCACCTTTAACCCAAAGTCCTGAGTTTCCTGGTAAATATATTTAATCATTTTAGTTTTAGCTATATTGTTTAAAATGTTGCAATCCTTAGATACTAAGATGATTAAATGCTGTACAAGTACTCTACGTTGTTCACTCACATTTACAAATGGACCTGGAGAACACACACAGAATTTTGCTAACAGAGATATAGAAATAAAAACGGGCAAATATAATACATCAGACCATTTTCTGAAGGTTAAGCACATCCTTTTACCGACCACTTGTGGAAAGAAGAGAAAAACGCTTCTTTTTCTCGAGCGCATTCATGAAAAGTGCTCATATATATTCTCCTGCTCTACATGGCAGGCACTGACTCTTTCTTCCTTTTTCTGCCTCTCTTTTGTTTCCATCTCTACAGGCTGTGAATCCTTACAAAGGTACCACCACCAGCCCTGTACCTGTAAATCACGCCGTGGTTTTGGAGATGAATAAATCCTCCCGGGATAAAGATAGTACGTATACCTCTTATCGGCCTCGCTGTATTTGCTGAGAGATGGAGAGCGCGGAGAGTCTGCCGGAAAAAAAAAAAATGCAGAGAAGTGGGAAATGAATTTGGTGTGCAAGTGCTCTTATGTACATAGATTGCAGATCGCTCCTGTCTTGGCCAATCTTATTCACTGTGTCTCTGTCCCAGTGCTTGTTTCTCCATCTCCAGCTTCTCCTGTCTGTCTCTATAGACCGCGACCAGCAAAAGGAGGTAAACGATGAGCTGCTGAAGAGGATAACAGACAATAAAGCTCAACCTCCGGCTCGAAACTTCCGGGTGGAACGCTCTAGCAGATCCATTCGCATCACAGATGAATCGCAGCCCTTTGAGGTCCACGCTTGGCTCAATGCGAAGGGATTTTCTAGGCCGTGAGTGACACATGTGACACTTTAGAATTAGATGATATATGAGTGGTGTGACCTAGTGGTTAAACGTGAGGGTTGTTAACCGAGGTGGCAAGTCCAAAGCTCAGAAGCAATGATCCATGTACCCTTGAACAAGGTACTTACTCTGCAGGTGACTCCAGGGGACTGTGGTTGAGATGTTCTGAATATAAAGCTTATTGTACAGAGGTCATAATAAAACTTGGGAAATATAAGTATATTTATTACCCATATGTAATTTAATAGGGAGGTACGGTGGCTCAGTGGTTAGCACTGTCACCGCACAGCAAGAAGGTCGCTTGTTAGAGTTCTGGCTGAACCTGTTGACATTTCTGTGTGGAGTTTGCATGTGCTCCCCGTGTTTGTGTGTGTTTCCTCTGGGTGCTCTGGTTTACCCTACAGCCCAAAGACATGCACAATAAGTGAATTAGAGAACCTAAATTGGCCATAGGGTATGAGTGTGTGTGTGTGTGTGTGTGTGTGTGTGTGTGTGTGTGTGTGTGTGTGTGTGTGTGTGTGTGTGTGTGTGTGTGTGTGTGTGTATGTGTGTGTGTGTGTGTGTGTGAATGAGTGTGTATGGGTGTTTCCCAGTACTGGGTTGTGGTTGGAAAGGCATCCGCTCCATAAAACAAATGCCAGAATAGTTTGTGGTTCATTTCGCTGTGGTGATTCCTGATAAATAAGAGACTAAGCTGAAGTAAAATTAATGAATAAATTTAATATAATATCAGTACATTTCATAATAAAATTGTATTTTATAATAATTCAGCAATCATTAGTGATTTAGACTCTCTTGAATTGAGTTTGTAAAACTAAAACAATAATAGTATTTATTAAAAAATTAAAATAAAAATGCACATGGTGAATATCTACCTATATTCAAGTTATGTGCGGTTGGGGAAAATATCTAATTGTGTTTTCTTTTGACCGGTATTACGATTTTCCATTGATTTGTGATTAAATTTTGTAGTCAAGTTTCAGCTCAATAATCTGAAGCACAGCTTTTCTGACTGTTAGTTAAAAAAAGAAACTGAAAATACAGTATATTTACTTAAACATTTATTCAAATTTGTTTTTGAATGTTCAGAAGTTAAACACTAATTTTGATCTAGAGCAAACATTAAGCACAAAAAAAATGAATTTACCTTACTATAAACAAGTACAAAAAAGTGTAGCTTATTATGCAAACAAAAAATTATTTTTTATAAAAATACAGAACAATCAGCAAACTAATATGGCTGATAAGAGCCTTTCTGTAGCTTACATTGTCTAAAACAAAATAATTATCACTGATGCTACACAAAATATCTCTTATCCTGCAATTAGATTTACACCGTATTAAAATGCACAGTGGAATAAAATCTGTTTTTATTCAAATAATAATAATTTTAGGCTCAATATTAGTAGCCCACTTAGCATTTTGTTTTAAATTTGCAACAGAATGAACTGTTTTTGTGTGACTTGCATGATTAACCAAACTTGCACTTAGTATCTTGCAAAATAACCAGTAAAATATGAATGTGCTGTCTTCATGGCAAAGACTAAATAAATTAGTTATTAGAAATTAGTAATTAAAACTATTATGCTTAAACATATGTAAAACAAAATTCACAGGAGAGCTAATAATTTGAAGATTCACAACAAAATAAATTATATTTCAATGTCAGTTTATTTTAAATTATGTGCAATGCTTTCACAATTTATATTGATTTCTATTCATATAAGGAGACATTTCTATGTTGAAAAGATTGACAGTGGCAATATTTCAGCTCCTTTAGAGTCTGGAAATTGTAACAGATAAGTTGTTTATTAAATTTGCCTCAGCATATTTTCATAGTATATAAAGCAATCTCCGAATAGATCAAATAAAATCACATTCTTTATGATAAAGCTCCTTAAAAGTAATGAAAAGTGATAATATGATGTAATATCCTCTCCACATTTCAGGGTGGTGGAGTGTCTGGGGATCCTGAACGGAGCTCAACTCTTCTCTCTGAGTAAGGATGAGCTGAAAGCTGTGTGCGGGGACGAGGGTTCACGTGTCTACAGTCAGATCACCGTGCAGAAAGCTCAAATAGAGGTTTGTCACAAAGCAATATTGCTTATGTTCGTTCAAATGCACTGAAAAAATTATTCAAAGATGATTCATTGGAGTTACTAAATTTTATTAAGGCAAGGAATAAATTCAGCCTAGATAAATTGTTTGCAGCAGTTTTACGAAAATATATATATTTTTTTAGCGTGACTGCAGATTAAACATTAAAATGGCTAACATTTTTACAGCCTGAGTTAACGTAGTACTTTTTTAATAACAATGTACCTGTTCAATACGTACAGTACATGCACTGTAAGTATGATGTAATGTAAGGGAACAATCTAAAAGACTTAACTCTCTAACTATAAGAAACTACAGTGTGGGTAGCTAAACTGAACTTAGATTTACTGTGAATGCTATTAATTTCATATATAATTATATATTATACATTAATTATACACACACACATATACAGTATCACTTGCCTTATAAAAGTATATACTGCACCAACAAAATTCTCTGAAATGACTGCACAAATGTAATGTTCAATGTTGTTACAGTGTAAATTAGGGCTGCACAATATTTAATTTCAGCATCATTATCATGTGTGCGTCCGCAGTAGTCACATCACAAGATATGCAACATTGAGTTGGGATTCCAAAAACGACAGGGCAAAACACATGAGATTTGTGGGGTCACTGCAGACTTTAACCATGATAGAGTGAAAGTTCATCATCTGCATGTATTTTTGTATGTATATGCTCATATAAGTGAGCATGTTAAGAGAGTGTAAAGTGTTTTAATAGCACATAAAAAAAACGTTTAGTAAAGTTTTTTATTTAAGTTTTTTTAAGACTATGCAATGTTATTTTACATTTGAGTATTCAATTTCTGCCACCAAATACTGTCAGACTCTCCCCAGAAAACCATCAACCACTGTTTAATTTGCTTATATATTTGCTCAAATCTGTTTATTTATGATTGTAGTTTGTTTATTATATGCATATAATAATTGACATTAAAAATTATTTTTTTTACTTCCCAAAAAATCATCCCAATCAATTTAAATTAATGAAATCTTTTTTAAATTGAGCTATTTAGGTCATCTGGTGAAATTGTATTTATATCGCAAAATATATTGCGGAGAAAAAAAAAAGATTGCAATGTCAAATTTTTCCATTATCGTTCAGCCCTAGTGTAAATGCAATCGCTATCCTCATGTTACTTGTTGCTACAGGATAAATATAATGCTATAAGTTTGTATGCTGTATAAGTATGCTAACATTGCAACAAAGTATGCTTTAAATTAGGGCTGTACAAGATTGAAGAAAATGTGATATGCGATAGCGTGTTATTAATGTGACATTGGATATGCAATACATATATTTTTTATTATACAACCAACATATGTTTCTTTTTAGTTAAGAAGAAGGAAAGAAAGCATCAACAGCTAAACAAGAACAGTGTGAAGTTACTTTTTTTTTTTTGCTGTATTATTGCTTTCTTAAAGGAACAGCTTACCCAAAATTGAAAAATCTATCTCCATTTTTACTCACCTTCCACTTTTTTCCACTATCATACTAATTTTTTTGCTCCTATCATGGAGCTCAATTGCTGTTTTTTCTTTTTTTCTTTAGAATTTGAATATATTTTTGACTCCTTGAAGTATAAAGAATATATTTTTTAAATTTTTAAAGATTTGAGTGTGCTTAAATGGTGAAGAAAAAGGGCTAGGCAATACTTGAATAAAAAAAAAAAATCAGGATATCATGTTTCATATTATTCAGTATGGATAATTACTGAATATTTTTCAACAATCCATTTACACTGGGGATATTACTTTTTTTTTCTATTTAACCGCTTTATTTTATTTACCAACATTATTAAGGCAAATAGTTTTAATAGTCAAAAACAAAAATATTGAAACTAAATATCTCCTCTCTATATAATAAAATAAACATAAGTGTTAAAGAGACTCCTAAAGTTGATAAATAAAATGTTACAAAGTGTGTGCAATGGAAAGGTAGATTAACATCTGTAAGGTGTGAATAATAATGAATAATAAGTAAACCTCAACATCTGTATACAACACAAATTATGATAATCAAATCTGAGCTTTGAAGTAAAAAAAAACTAGCCATCGTTATTCAAATACATACTGCAACATTACAAATCGTGAAGTTGGATGACTATATTATGCTGAAAAATCTTTTAGATGGGGTCTAGTTGCTGGGATGCACAAGAAAAGAAACCAAAAAGCCACTCTAGCGACATCCTTATCCTTATTGCCATTCCTTCCAAGGCGCGCTCAGCAACCACATTTTAATAAAACTATAGCCGTCATACCGAAACTTTAAACTTTTTTTAATCATTATTGACAATAGTTTTCAGTCAATAAGTACAGATACCAATTGTATCGCCCAAACCTATGAACATTTTTTCATTTTTGGGTGAACTATCCCTTAAACATGGCTTGTCTGTTTGTTTATTATTCAGCATCCATTTACTTTTGTATTAAATCACTCATTTATCGCAAACCATTGCAATATGTACTGTATATAGCAATATGAACATTTGCTTTAAAATTTTTTATCATTTTAATACATTGCACAGCCCTACTGTAAATTCTGTACATTTCTAATATATAGCCCTATCCATAAATGAACTGCAAAGGTGAGCTTAAACGTCATTCTTTCTCTCAGAGGGGTAATGGCGATACAGAGCTACAGGAGATCATGAGGCGACGGCAACAGGAGGTGGACTCAACCTGGGACTGATTACAGTCAATCATGGCCTTATTTCATCACGTTTTCTTCAATGCTCTTGTTCACCCTACAATCAACAGCCACCCAGAGGAATTCAGAACAGATGGACTAAACAACTTCAGTCATTACTGAACCCCAGTTCAGCCTATTTCCTTTATGACCCGTACAATGTAGTGCTTAACGCTAGTGCTTAAACTGATGAACATGAATGCATTGGGAGTGAAGTCTTTAACCTCCATTTATAGAGAGGAAAATGATTTTGATAGCAGGCTTTGACTCACAGTATGATTGATACCAATAAAGCCATGGCTCACAAATTTAAAAATATATATATTTCTGGTAATATTAGTTCATTCCAAAACCCATTTGCAGTTTTAAAGTAATATCTTGGCCATGTTTGTGGCCATTTTCACTACTTGTCCCGATATCCTTCAACTTAACTGGTGTTTTTTTTAATGCATCCTGTCAAATGTCATTGCTTCTGAGGTTGAGTAAAGGTTGACATTTTAATTTTGGGATAAACTATTCCATTTGTAGCAAGTCCCATCTGTTTCTGCATAAATAATCAATGGTAAACAGCAAAATCAAATGGTATTAAGTAATGCAGTGGAGTACTGTAATATTATCGCATACTTAATTCAGATAAATGAGCACTTAAATATAAATCTTAAACTGTGTCGTTATTTAGTTTTCCATTATTTTCAGTTCACCCGTGCTTCACACTTCATTAAGGCAAATCAGATCATGTTTATTCATGTTAATGGATGATTAGACTATTATTTGTTTCCTTTGCATCTAATGATAGAAATAAAAGCACATAGAGATGTATTAAAAAACATTGATGGTGTGAATTATGATTCAGAACGTGTATTGTGTCATTAAACAAAATAAAGCAAAAAAATAAACAACTCATACAAGGCTACACACGTGGTTAAAATAGTATGTGTTCTTTTACTTCTGTAATTGATTCAAAATATGTTTATATAAATTGTGTACGATTTCTAAAGCGGCAGAATTGATTGTGCTATCGCTTTTCACAGAGCAAATTCTTGGCGCTCTTCTTACCCCCTTTCAGCCCTGTGAAAAGCATAAGGCTGAATCTCTACCCGCCTCACTGACTGACAGTTTCGCTACTTGCCCTCACGGGGGGCACATAACAGTGGCTTTCAGTTTGTCGTGTTGCTTTATTTCTGGAATAGATTGTGAACGCATCAGCGAGTATTGTGCTGTGTTCAGGATGAGTGAGAATGACCTCCATCTTTCCCTTTGTATGCACTGTCAAAACGCCTCCCAGCCTTTAGAGAGGGTGGATGTGGCTGCGTATTGTCACCATGATTCATGGCATGAATCAATGCCTAATGATGGGATTTACAGAGAGGAACATCAAAGAAAAGATTCAGGAGATTTGCAGAGCAGCGGAACTATTGTCATTCAGATCCTGAGAATTTACCGTTTTTTGAAAGAATTTCATACAGGCTATTTTCTATATGCCAGAGATTGTTGTGGAGTTGGATTCTTGAGTAATAAGTCAAGCAAATATAATGACAGGTTAAAGAAACCTAGGAAAACAGCAACTGCTTTAAATAGGATACAAACATACACACACACACACACACACACACACACACACAAACACACACACACAAACACACACACACACACACACACACACACACACACACACACACACACACACACACACACACACACACATGCACAAAAAAAGCATTTATACTTTAACATTACTTTCCTTAAAAAGTAACTAATCCACACTTTTCATTTGGCTAGGTGCCTTATTTTCAGGGGTCGCCACAGCGGAATGATTCGCCAACTATTCCACAATATGTGTTACGAAGCGGATGACCTTCCAGCCACAACCCAGTACTGGGAAACATCCATACACTCCCACATTCACACACCCACTCATACACTATGGCCAATTTAGCTTATATCTTTGGACTTGGTCCAACCAGGACTTGAACCAGCAACCTTCTTGCTGCGAGGTGACATGCTAACCCCTGAGCCACCATGCCGTTGTATTATATTATTTAGTTGTATTATATTACATTTACACTGATGTTAAGGTACCAAACTTCAAACTAAAAACAAGCACTCTTTCAAGCACTTTATTAAAACTTGTTTCAATGAACATTTCAATGTATTTAGCATATAGCATTAGTATACAATAGCGTGTAATCTCACAGGTTTCACTCAGACCACTTTGAATGACATTTTTTGGTGTGAGAGTCAAGACAATGGCAGTAAAGATGACATCCTCTAGCATCAGCTGCTGGTGTACGCCTTGAGGCTAGAGAAGAGTTGTTTTACTCATACAGCTGTAACTACTGTAGCTGGTCTGCGCTAAACATGCAGTACTCTACAGCACAAAGCCATTCGAAACATACTGTAGGCAAGGCAAGTTTATTTATATAACACATTTCACACACAGTGGTAATTCAAGTGCTTTACATAAATAAGAATAAAAGAAACAAGAAAATATAAATGATTAAAAGACTTAAAATGATTAAATAAAAATGTATTATATAAAAAAGTAAGGCATAATCGTGTTATATAGTAAATAGTACACTGTTAAAAAATGGACAATATAATAATAACCTTGGGGGAACCATATTGGAAACATTTAACTGAACACAGGTTCTCCAGTTCATGAGTAGATAATTTTTATGAGAAGGTTCTTTTAACACTAGAACACCAGAATTCTGTAACTACTACAACGGCCATAGGGGTCATTCTGACTGCTCAAATAATACAGAAATGAAAAGAAATTGTGTTCAAGAGTTCACACTTAGCTGTTGATTGATTATAAAGCTTGTTTGGTATGCTGTCCCGGGAGCGAGCCCTGAGCTCATAAGATCCTTGAGCCCTGGGCTCCCTGCCGTTTGCAAGGCGAGAGGGGAGTTTGAGCTCAGGTACATCTCGAGAATTCCCCTGCTGTAGTAGCTAATGAACAGATAGTGATTGCTCTTAAGAGATAACTACTTACTAGGAGCATGTCTATGGTGCCGATTTGGATTAGTCATTTAGCTTAAGTTGCATGTTTTTGGACGATGGGAGGAAACTGGAGAACCCGGGGGAATCCCACGTGAGCACGGGGAGAATGTGTAAACTCTACACAGAAACGTCAACTGGCTTGATAAGGATTAGAACCAGTGACGTTCTTGTTGTGATGCAACAGTGCTAACCACTGGGTCACTGTGCCACCCATCTAGGAAAGGAGGAGGAGTAGGGGTGGAAAGGGGAATTCTTCAAAAGAAAGCATCTGTCATATGGAACTTAGGGTATTTATAGTGGCTTAGGAATATATGTGTATGTGAACCTCTCGAAATTAGTTTATAAATAAACTTCACTTAAATCATATTTACAATCAAGCATGTATGGAGATTTTAGAATTAAGCTTTAAATATCTGTCATCATATTTAATGAAGTCATTACTCTAAATATGAGCAATTCCATGCAAATGTCACAAAAAAAGTTTTTACTAAGACATTTGTTTGGTAAAAAAAAAACTGAAACCCTTTTTTGTGTAGGCTTGTGCTTTACAGGACTGTCAAAATACACAAAAATGTTTCTGTAAATGTTCTCAAACTATTATATTTGATTTACCAAAGTCAAACATGCGCCAATTTCACATCTGTCACATCTGTGACAAAGCTTTTTCCTTATAAATGCAAAAAATGTCAAACAAAATCAGTCATGTTTGTTCTATAGTAAGCCAACTCTTCTCTTTTTGATTAGCATTTGTTCCTTTGGGTTGTGCAGTTTAATTCACTGAATTTCTACAAAGTATGTTGTATACTGTACACTCACAGACTGTTTTGGTCACATCATAACCCATGTGTATTTCCCTCATTTAAAATATAAAAAAAAAAAACATTTACAGATTGATATTTTTCTGATCCCATAACTCTCTGGTTAGTTCTTTCAGAAAATATAAACAGATGTTTTAATATAATGTTAACATATACTTTCTCTGTGCATTTACATTTTTACTAAACATGTCACATTCATAATGCTGAAACTGCTTATGTACATTCTTTTTAATATTAAAACCAATAGTTTTGTACAAGGTACTAGACTGTCCACAAATTAGTCTAGTAGTGGACTCAGTAAAAAAGTAGTGGATGCTCAGATCTCTTTTGTGTAATTTTAATAAAATAATGTTAGAATAAATATATTCACACATTTAGGAAATGTCAGGTTAGGGGAGAGCATGCAGGGATGAAAGTATATGTAACGTGGCAAGAAAGTAACAGCGATTTTCATCGCTAACATTTGCTTTCTATGCTATAACAGCACATTCAGCACACAACCCTTGATGTAATGGGCCAAATTTCATGTGATTTTGCGACCGTGTCCTGCAGTTAGTTAGTTACTTTCGTGTTTCATGTGCCACACTAATGATAAATCTACAGGTTATTTAGTGGAATAACACATCCTTAAGTTGGAAATGTCTTAAGTGGGGACGAAAGTAACATTGGTATTTATGTCCCACTGCTAATAAACAAACATTATTTTTTTGCATTCACATTAAAGTTTTATGTGTTTGGTTTCGGATTTTGTAAGAAATGTATGCATATTGCCAATAATAATAATTTAAAAAAATATTCAAAAGTTGTAGAAAATTATAATATTTTGCATTGTTGAATTGCTTTTGAAACATTCGATAGAAGTGAAGTTTAAAATGAAAATGCTGTTTATTTTATATTTTTTTGCATGACAAAATATATTTGCAGTTAATATTAACAAGGTCGTAGTCAAATATATTTAAAATACACAAGATTAAGTCAGTAAATCTGTGTGCGTTCCTGCTGATGGGGTCAAAAGTAATGTGCTTTAGTTTGAAGTGAAGTTATGGACTTGTTCTACATTGATACAAAATAACACTTGATTTTGATGGACCACTCTTTGAGATAGTAACTACAGCAAAAAAATAAAAAATAAAATAAAATAAATAAATTACACACATATACATATATATATATATATATATATATATATATATATATAAACATAATCTATTAAAATGTTACTTTCGTCTCCGCTCTCACCTAACATAGTAATATGGGTTTTATTTTAATAAATTATTAAATTACAAAATGACTGCTTCAGTAGTGTTAATCAAATTAAAAACTTCAGCACATTCAGTAAATTAAGATTCACAAACTAAAAACACAAGGCAGTTCTTGCTGATTAAATAAAAAATGACAAACATCTGAAGCAGTATTTCAGTTAATGTGAAAATTTGCATTTCTTTTACAAAAATGTTTTCCAAATATTCAAAAGATTAAATAATGAAACCGTTAGGAAACTAGCCACATTCTTTTCAGTCTTTACACAAAACACAGATCAAACTAAAACGATCTGTGACTAATGTAAGAATCAGACCCAAAAACACCACTGACAAACAGTCAACACGTCAGAAGCGAATTCCAAAATCTGACTTCTTGGTGAAGTCATTAACAAGAGAAAATGGCAATAACAAGCCCTTAGATGACTAACACAGATGCCACGATTCAAATCATGCATAATTCATGAAATGAATAAATGCTCAGCAAAAAAATAAAAAATAGCGAACACAGTCCAGATCTGTTCGCTTACAGCCAATTATAGCTAACTAACATAAAAGAAGTTGTCACAATCAGTTTGCTATTTCACCCTGGTGGAAGAACACTGCCATAACGTGTGACAGATTTGGCTTCTGGGGATATGCTGGTTTATGCTTGTCTCCATGCAGGGGGGAGGAAAGTTTTTCTGGACAGACAGCTACATAAACACACAGTATCAGTCGCACCCGCAGTGTCAGCGCTGCAGGAGACCCACGACTCCAAACTTCTTCTCATTTCACTCTCCGCACCACCCAGTGGGCAGTCACTTAAAATAGAAGACAATAACAT